CTATAACCCAATCCACACTGTGTCCTACACTGAGAATATCAACTTTTACCTTCTGGAAGATGTTTCGGGGTGTGTGAGTTCAGGAACCCAAAGTACAGAAACCTTCAGATTTTTTACCAGGGGAGGCGTTAGGCCCGGCTACTTGGGCTCAAGCCCCGAGTGTTTTATGAAAAGACTAGTGTGTGTTACGTGTGTGTGTTAAGCCCCGGATCTTCTTCAGACCTAAATCCGCCCGTTTTTTACTCAACTGTGTTTCTTAATCAGCAGGAAAGAAAAAGGACTCAGCAAGTCTTTTGCTGCAGAATGTTTTGTCTTTAGACCACTTTTAAGATGTTCTTACTAAACAACATGTTATATTTGGGAAATATCCCTCTATTGTGTTGCTGATTCTGAAGTCATTGCATTGGAATTTATAATATAGGATAATTGTCAAGGTGAGCAGAAAATCCGTCCGTTTTCCCATGCTTATCCAAGTCCAGGACGAGGAGACAGCAGTTCCAGCAAAGAGGCCCAAACCTACCATTCCCCTGGCAACCTACACCTGCAAGACCCCCAGGCGTTCCCTAGCCAGTGTGGAGATACGATCCCTCCAACATGTCCTGGGTCAAGCCGGGGGCCTACTGCTGGCCGGACACACCTGAAGCACCTCGCCTGGGAGGCGTCATGGGGGCATTCTCACCAAATACCCAAACCACCTCAGCTGGCTCCTCTCAATGTGGAGGAGCAAAGGCTTTACTGAGTCACTTCCGAATGTCCAAGCCTCTTTGAATACAACCGCCCAGTTTAGTGTCTGCATCACTGCAGATGCTGCCCCAATCTGCCTGTCGTTCTCCTGTTCCCTCCTTCTCTTACTAATGAACAAGACCCCAAAATAAACTATCCCACTTGAGGCAGGACCTCTGCCCCGAACTGGAGTTGGAAATCCACCTTTTTCCAGTCAAGCATCATGGCCATGGATTTGGAGATACTGATTTTTATCCCAGCTGCTTCGAACTCAGCTGCAAACCTTCACAGCAAAAGCTCAAGGTCACTGATTGTTGGAGTTAAGAGGACCACATCATCCACAAAAGCAGACATAAGATCCTCCAGCCACCAAACTTGACACCCTCTGCCCCAAGCTACTCCTTAATTTGGTCTATAAACACATTGAATGATATGGTGACAAGAGGGCAGCCCTGGTGGAGTCCAACCCTCACCAGTAACAAGTCTGACTTACTACTGGCAACGTGGACCAGCCTCACATTCTCTTTGACTTTTTTTATCTCGTACGTTTCATCTTGACTGAAGACCAGCCATTCCAACAGCATTTGCAAACAGAGGTGGACTGGCCATCTGGCATATCTGGCATCGTCCAGGAGGATTGCTTAACTTGGTGGGCCGCTTACCCAATGTGGGCCGGTCAAACCATGGACATAAATACGTAGACAAGGCATTGGGCACCGGAAACCATAACAGCATCGTTGCCATATTGGATGGGTCCCTCATTAGCTAAACACTACTGGAGTCTAGGCAGAGTAAGCAACTATGCCCATTTTTTGTGCAGCCTACAGTTGCAACAACTGGCGCACTACTGAAAACAGATTTGTGGGATTACAACAGACTCTTCTAGTCTATCTTTTGGAATTTTATATTTGTATTTATTTTATTATATTTATATTAACTATCATGCAATACCATGTGTCTGATTTTGTGAAAAAGCTTGGTAAAATGTGCTTTTCAGTTGGGTGAACACATACCTCAGTAGAAATAAATGCACTGGGGTAAATGGAGACCCATCCAAGATGGCGGGCTGCCACTATGTCAGTTTGCGTCGCATCTACGATGTCTGTGGGATAAACTAAAGGGCCCCCCCCGACCCCTCCCTTGACGACTGACTGGACAGAGAAATGTCTGCAAGACCCCCCCCCCCCCCCCCCCCCCCCCCCCCCGTTCCCGATGGGGAAATGCCAGGGGCGAATCGTTGTCCACTCGTTAGCAAATGGAAGTACAGTTTCCCTTGTGACCAGGGATGTACCGATTGATGCATAAGGAAGATAATTTAGAATTTATTTAGAAATTTCAGAAAAATATATCATGATATAATTTTTTGAGGGAAATCTGAATGAGCTATGGTGTATAGCAGCAGTCCAGAGCAAAAATAAATAAATACTTTGGATCCGCCCACAAAACTAGAATCTGTCTATTTCTAATCTTAATTTAATAACCGTAGCTGAGTAAAACTGCTGACTGATTAAGGGACATGGTGTTTTTTGACAGTTTAAGCAATTTCACATAATCACCCTAATTGCGGTTATATAAAAACTCAGAAGTTATGGCTAGAGCAAGCTGTAATATTTCTGATCTAGGATGTGATTGGCATCAAAAGGCTTAGTCTGGGTTTTACAAACATTGTCAGAACTTTTGGTATTATACACATATATCAATTACCTAATTAAAACATTATTTCTCAATACATGATACAAAATTCTCACATAAATTGTTGCATCAGAGTTAGCTAAGAAATGAAGCAATTCCTCCATTATCACTTCAATATGTGCTTTTCATGTGGGAAGTCACACCAGCTAGAATTCAGCTACTTTATTAGATAGACAACAGCCCACACTGTTGTGATGAAACTTAATGCCTATTGAATGAAGCAACACCCTTAAATTTAGAAACATTTTTGCTAATGGTATGTTCGCTGAAGGAAAGTGAGCAGCAGATATAATTTCAGGTAGAATAGTTACTGCTATGGTGACTTTACCAGCTGGAGGGACCAGACATCCCACGTTGTGTTGGATTTCCTCTTGTCCCACATGGCTGATATTCAAAAGTCAACAAGGCCAGAAACTCATTTCCTTATTCTTGGTTTTGGAGCAATTATTCTTAATTTTATTTTTTAGAAATTAAGAAAAAATTGTTCTTGAGTCATTTGCAAGGTATATTTGTTGGTTAATAATTGTTTTGTTTTGTTTTAGCAGTTGAAGAGCTAGGCCCATTAGCCTCTTATATTAAATGTGTTGGACACTCGCTAATAAATACATTTGCAGTGGTCTCTAGAAGGAATGAATGCCTTGCACGTTGTACAAAAAGCCCTGGTGTGCCTGTTTCAGCATCTAGAAGATTGCCAGATCAGAGAAGAACTTCAGAAGACTCTCACATCTGACCGGCTAACAGCAATACATCTCTACTACTCGCTTTGTTTACTTTGCAATGTTGATGTTTTTCCCTGCAAATAACACAAGCTTGGAGGAGTTTTGCCATGTGGTGGAGTTTCTAATGCTAACAGTTAGCGTCTAAGAGGCTGAGACATTATCTGCTGTTTCCTGTAGGCTAAACCTACAGAAGACTTCCCTGTCTTTAGTCAAGATGGGTGAGTCCATGAATGTTAAAGGACAATGTTATGTCACGCTGTCAGGCTCTACAAATCCTAGCGCAGGGCTATTCAATTCCAGGCCTCGAAGGCCAGTATCCAGCACGTTTTAATGGTTTCTTCTAGTCCATGGTTGAATCATCTGTGCAGCAGCTCATCAGGCTCTGCAGAAGCCTGTTAATCACCTGCTGATTGAAATCAGGTGTGAGGAAGCATGATTAAAACCAAAACGTGCTGGATACCGGCCCTCGAGGCCCAGGCTCAAATATCCCTACCCTTGTGTTCCACAGTCAATTTTTTTATCAGAAGCTAATGCAGAAGATAGGTGTAGGAGACTATTTTCATATTTTAAAAGCATGAAAACCAAGTGACTAATTATAATCACAAATATTCATGAAAAAAATGTTTTTTCAGTCAACCACACCTTTAAGCCTGGTTTCACCTTCCTGACATCTGGCTACCGAGGCCTACTGGTTGTACTTTGCACAAGACTGAAAAGTACGGACCAACATGCTTGCTCTTTTATTGCTCCTGTACTCTGGAATAACCTTCCTCTGACTTTGAAAAGGTGTGCTAGAATTATGTATATTAACAACTGGAAAGGGTGCTTTGAGTTGCTTTGATTTCACGGCGAAAGGACTGCATTGCCAGCTGTGAAGTGGGTAATTAGCTGCAGAAATTAGCTTTTGGGCTGCAGATTGTTGAGCAGTTGGTTGCTGATGAACAAGAAAGTAAGTGTCCAAGTACATCATGGAAAGTTGGTGCTTCAACATCTTTATTTTCCACGAGGGCGTTAGCAGCAGTTCATCCAGACTGACCTAGCGTTAGCAGTAGCTCAGGATTGTGTTAGTATCTGCTCGGTCGCTAGCATTACTGCAACCAAGGTATATATATTCTAGACACTGAAGTGGGTTGGGTATACCGATGTAAGCAGGAGTGTCTTAAATATTAAGTATTATGTGAAGCTTTTCTAGAGCCAACCATCTCTCTCAAGATGACTAATTTACACAGAAAGCAGATTGGACACAGCTCTCAGTTTTTGGTATGCTACATTTGATCATCCAAGCTTCAACAACAAGAAATAAATGTGGTTTTGCATTCTACTGCCCCTTTAAGTCTGCAGAGTGGTTTTGGTGCTGAGGGCCACCAAAACAAGACAAATAACAATAAAGCTACAACTGTTTGGTTTTTTGTATTTATGGCAAAAGATGCAGCAAAAAGGCTTTTCATTGTTCTTATAAACTCATTCTCAGTTTAAAATACTTTGCCAGCACTGTTCCAAAGAATATAAACTCCTAGCCTGAGAACTGAGTTCTACTTCCTGTATGGTAGCTAATAATAGCAAGTTCAGCAACAATAACAGCTCAAGGCTTTTTGTTCTTGTTGTGTTATTTTCCCCAAAAGATGTGCATCAGTGCTGATTCCCTCCATCTGCCTGTGTTCGTGCAAACATGTAGAGGAAAACTAACCGTCACACATCATTATTACTGACAAAGATACTTGTTTGAGGTGCAGCAGGCAGAGATACTGTGATCATCACCAAAGAGTCACAGCCAGCAGCGTCTCTCACACTCTCTGCAGTGTTTACAGGCAGTAATTTGTGTTTTGAGGTCTGAGCGCCGTAGCGACACGAAACTGTGATTCTCACCTCTGAACTTCTTTGGAGGGGTGTTGAGGTCTCCAGCATCAGGCTGGACAACACAACGATCATCCACCAAGCTGTAAAATAAAAGCACACCATTATTAAAGACTTAGTATGAAACACACAGCTGTCAAAAATAGCGTCCGTTTGGATCTTGATGTTTAGTTTCTTTTGGCAGGGAGACATTTTTAATTTCAATATGAGGATCAGCATCACTTTGATGAACCAGAGAACGCGGTCTTCGTACAGGTGGTGTTTGGTGCCAAAATGGAGGAGAGACTGATGAGCAGCATGTTTGCAGTAGGTTTGTAATAAAGGATTGCTGCCCATCTGTCAACAGAACTCAACAGACCTCCAGCTGCAGACTGAAGGAATAATATGCTAACATCTGAAATTATACAACAAAACTTCTGGACAGTTTTATCATATTTCTTCCTGGATGTTGTAATCTCAGCTTGAAAATAATAGAAGGTGTTTTTAACTAGTTTTTGTAATATGAGTTATGAATTTTAGCTCTTTACACCAAGAATAAAAATTCGGACTAGTCCAATTGGTAGGGATGTCCCGATACAACTTTTTCACATCTGATACGATACATATATTACTTCCTTCAGTTTTGACCGATACCGATATCAATCTGATACGATGTCAGCACAAATCAGACGTACTTTTATCCATTTCATATTGTGGAATGTATGAAAGGCTTGATCAAGTGATATTACTCAATCGGAGAACAAGAGCCAATAACAGTAAGTATGAAAATAATGACAATTTTTTCTTAACCATTGGTTGCAAAAATGTGAACCTTAACGGACCGCTTATATTGGAGATTTTTGATGCTGTTCGATAGAATCCGACACTGTGTTTTTGGGGTTATCGATAAAGGAACGGGACATCCCTACCAATTGGAATAGTATTCATTCATTAGGAAATTTAAATTACCTTTAATATTATTTCCTTAAAGGGATAGTTCAGATTTGTTTAAGTAGAGTTTTGTGGAGTTGGTATCCTTCCTGCAGTAGACAGCATCATGAATGACATCAGTTTGGGGAAAATCATGAAGTTGTTTTCAAAAGAGCCAAGCTAACAGCTAGTTTCAACAACTCCAAACCAGGATTCTGATAGAACCTATTTCCTAAAACACAAGTTGTTAATAAATCATTTATTGATTATTACGCTACACGTCTTTCTCATCAAATAGAAAACGTACCAATTCTGGGTTTTCAGGGCCAAGACAGATTTCTATACCTTAAAAACTCTGACTTGCGGTTTGGCAAATGCTATATCTGTCTCAAAGAGTTTACAAACAAAACACAAACAAACAAACAAATAGAAAATCGCAATTGTAAAGTAAAAATCACGATGGTGAGTTCATGAACTAGGTAAAATGATGGCTTTACTAGGCAATGGTGCATTCAAGGACTGAAATAAAAGGATGCATTCCTGAGTTTCAAATTGACCAACCCCTAATTAAACCAATTATTAATAATATTGGCCGATTACATCACCAAACAATTTTGGGGGTGAATTTCTGAATCACATAGTTAAGCACACACTTGGCAGTTTTGCTTATGTTGGATTATTTGTGTATTAACTGACCTTGGCCACCTTGCTCCTGACAGAGTTCTGTGTGACCTTTGAGAAACTATTTCAAACTTGCTGGAATTGTCTTGATCTCATCCCACAGTCACTTATATTAGGCGCAGACACCAAATATTTCACTATCTGTCCACATAGCATCACCATGACTGCAGTCTTGGTGCTATATAGTCTTTTAGGTTCTAATCCAATCAGGAATTGCCATCATAGTGGGGGTGAAATGCCCCCACAAGGGTATATTAGGCAATGTCAGCCATGTGGAGGCACTCTTCTGGAGACCTCCAGAGAGTCAGGAATTCCTTTTGTTACCCTGTGCTCCCTCTCTGCTCCTCTCTACATAAACCAAGATAAAACAGAATCACTGCCTCGCTGTCTTTATTAAAGAATTGCTGTGTTAAAGTTAACATGAGTTGCCATAGTTGAAATAGTTCAAAGCTCCCAAGCGTCTCTCCCCTGTGGGGAAAGAACCAAGAAGGTTAGGACTAGACCGGTTCCGAGCGAGTTTCAGGCAGCCATGGACCAAATCACGGGCCAAAAACCAACACTTACTTTTAGCACCCCCTAGTGTACGTTACTAAATACCTGTGGTCAAAGCAAAAGTGAAACCGTCTCCTCAGTCTTGATTAGTTTCTACAGGAGCGGTTAATCACTAAATGAAACAAATCAGCTGTGTTCATGATGTAAAACAAGCAGGAAACGTGCTGGAAGCAGACTGGAGTAGCTCAATGTTTTCTAACAGCTGCCGGACCGGCACTCTGAAGTTACAAATGCGGTATTCTGGCCACAAAGGGCGGTGGGGGGTCTGAGTGACATTTAATTAACCCTGTTAAATGGTCATTCTAGCACATACTGTATCAAAAAAAAAAATTTAAAAATATGAAAAAGTTGCACAGTATCCCTCTAACAACCAGTTGTTTATAGCATAGTTAGCGTTGCAACATATTTTAGATGGAGAATCAATGCAAATGGGTTGCAGCACAAATGTTCTCCAAAACATCTAAAATAGGGACTTCTATGAAAATCATTAAATAGCTATTTAATTGGTCCTTATTAAATAGATGAAACTTGATAAATGTGAGCCCGGCAAGACAGGAAAAGCTACACCAACCGCAGCTGCTGCTTTCGTGAAATAACCACAGAACTGTAAATGTGTGTGGTGTGTGTACATTTCAGAAATAACCACAGAACTGTAAATGTGTGTGGTGTGTGTACATTTCAGAAATAACCACAGAACTGTAAATGTGTGTGGTGTGTGTACATTTCAGAAATAACCACAGAACTGTAAATGTGTGTGGTGTGTGTACATTTCAGAAATAACCACAGAACTGTAAATGTGTGTGGTGTGTGTACATTTCAGAAATAACCACAGATGTTATGCAAATAACCACATACTGAAATACAGTAATGTACAGGTTTAAATCTGCAGGTTTAAGGAAGCCAATTTAAGACTTTTTAAGATCTTTTCAAGGCCATTTAGATTATATTTCAGACTTTACATTTTCAGAATGAAAAAATAGATTTGACCACCTTCTGTACAAATCTTAATTGGAACTGAAAGTGCCAAAAACTAACACAAACATCAAGATAATTACTCTGCAGAGGATGAAAGTGCATGTATATTCCATGAAGCAAACGATGCAGTACTACTTGACCTGCACATCCCCATGGCTCATGCAGCCACTAGCTAAAGCAGCTAATGTGCACACCTGAAAATAGCCATCTCCCACACACACCTAAATGAAAGTTGGTGATTTTGCCCATTCTAGTTCCAAATGCAAAAATACATAACACTGATTAGAAATTAGCAAGATTATTCACAGATTTCCAAATAAAATTAATCTTGTTAACTGGGTCTGTAGTATTGCTCCTCATGTTAGGGATTTTTTAAGGCCTTAATTATGGAAAATCTAATTAACGTAAAGTTTTAAAAGACTTTTTAGGGCTCTGTGGCTACCTTGAAATAGTATTGTCAAAAGGTACAAAAAAGTACTTTGAGGTTACTTTTCATACAGCAAATATCCATTTTGGTAACCCAGCATAAACTAGCCGTTAGCTCATCATTCCAGTCAGAATTGATCTGTTTCTCCAAATCGAGGTCTTTCAAAGTCCAATCTACAGGTAAGATCTGCACCATTTTTATAAAGCAGCAGCTTCTCCCTAACCAAGTAAAGGTTTAATAAATATCACATAAACATTTAAGAATTCAGAAAATACCCTCCTCTGCATCTCTACAAGGAGGAAATATTCTGGATGAATCAGCAGAGGACAGGCAGGAATTTTGGGTGACAGATTTAACTTTTACTGGCTTACAATAACACTTACTGGGACCGAGGCCAAATCCTACATTCTTTTTTTTTTTTTTTTGCTAAAAAGGTCTAAAATGGTCCACAAGAATGCCTCCAGCCTTCACTCCTCGAGGACCAAGGCTGTCATATGTGGACATGAGGACAGAGTGTGTGTTAGGAGGAAATTAGTGATTGTCATGGACGTCACATGCAAAAAAAAAAAAAGAGCCACACTTCACAGGAGTTAGCTAATGATCCGTCCTGCTGAACCTCGTCTCCAGCTCAGACGAGGAAGTTCTGATGCTTATGGGTTTCTCTCCTCTCAGAACCGCGTCTTTCCTCGAATCAGAAAATCTGGAGAATGCAGCGGAGTTGGTTTTATGTGAGGAGTGGGTGGCTTCTGGCCAGAATCCTCATGACAATTTTTGTAAATATGTGTGTGTGTGTGTGTGTGTGTGTGTGTGTGTGTGTGTGTGTGTGTGTGTGTGTGTGTGTGTGTGTTCATGACTACGTGGGAAGTGTTTGGACTGAAGAAAGGCCACAATATCTTTATAATGACTCAGTGTTTTGTGGGGGTCATTTCGGTTTTTATGAGCCAGCAGGCGGGAGGTCCAGGATGCTGAAACGAGGGCCCTGATTCTGTTACCAGACAAACTGAACAGTTCACCTGGTATGATTACTCTGCAGTTTACACCAAGGCAATCTCACACTCCTTTCTTATGAGCTGGTTTACATCTAAAACACAGGAGGAGGGGGAGGGGCACCAAGTTTAATGAAATCCCAGAGCTGATTTGTTGAGCGTGTGCTGCTGACTATGAGCCCAAGCACAAAGCAACCAACTTTTTATTAATAAGGAAATAAAATAAAAATATATTTCCTGTTTGTCACAGGATGGAACCGTTAATCTTGTGTATCGTTTAATAACGCTGCATTTTTGTTTGGTTGTTTCAAAATGTGCTTGAGTTGCATTGTGGGAAGAACAATAGAAGCAAAAAAACTACAAAGATCAGTTACATTATTCAGCAGGACAAGATCAAAAGAACATTTTAAACACTGTGATGCAAACTGTAAAAAAAATAACTCTTTCGAGAGAACTGAAAACTTAGATTTATTTACTCGTTGTTACTGTTTGTCAAATTTAGATCTGACTGGGCGGTGACTGTAGGAGACAAATGGAGAGCAGGATTCACGAGGGAGTCTCCAAAACCTCATTTTCCTCTTGTGTCCAAGGAATTTTAAACATGTTTAAAAAAAATGCTCATTTTCTCTAACAATAGAATTCGTATGAACACTTCCAGTTCATCTCAATCAAACCGACCTCTAGTTTCTGTGAGTCACGTCAGAAGGTGTGAGAAAAGTGAGACGGCTTAGGAGGGGAGGCAAAATTGTGAATGAAATGAGAACAAATGTAAACAAACTGAAACATTATGGAGACATTTTGTGACTAAAAAGTAAAAAAAAAAACCCATCATAATAACATGATATGTTCCAAGAGACCATGTCATAATTCTAATCAGTGTGATTCCAACAGAAAATGTGCATATTTTTTCACATTTTTGTGTCTTTGTCGGAGGTCACCGTGGTGGTGCTGCAGATAGCCCTGTTGCCCTGCAGAAACATGGTTCAAATCCAGGCTGCAGCACTTTTGAAAGGAGTTAGCAAGTTATCCCCGATGCATGTGTGTGCTTTCTCTGGGGACTTTTCCTCCCACATACCAAATAGATGTGTGTTTGCTTAAATGGGAACCCTAGATTGTCCCTTGGTGTGTGTGTGTCAATGGAGGTTTGTCTCTGTGTGTCCCTATGATGGACCTGTCTTACGGATTGTTAAGAAAATCAGTGAGTGAGTGTAACTATCCAACAGCTTTAGCCTAATAAGATACAGACTTTAGCGACCAGCAGATATTTGCTTATATTTAGTGTTTTGAATGCTAACTGGATCGGATGGGAAACACAACCCAGTACTGCTGGGAATTTGTAAATTCAATACTGCACACAAATTTACCTCATTCAAGCCAAGTCTTAGCCCCTAACTGTGCAATTATTGCCCGTTCGTTTTATTTTCTCCAGGATTACGAGCCAATTCAAAATCCAAAGTGCTTTCTGCAGGATGAACCATAAAGTTCCAGCTGTTTGATGATCTTTGCAGCATAACACTATTCTGTAACTGTCAAGCACCAGCCGCTTTCATCACACACACACACACACACACACCAATTAATCAGATGCATTTCTCACTGCATGTATTCAGACTGTGTAACATACCCTAAAGTGTTGATGAAGCCACTGGTGGACCCCTCTGCATACAAGGAGCAGATGTCCCCGATGTGTAAGAAGCTGGACATCTTATCCGACATGTTTGGCACAAACTAGGAAGCACCTACACACAGGAGTAGAGAAGGTAAACTTGACACATTTTGGATTTATAAGACAATTACACAGTTCTAAATAACTCAAAATGTTGCAGAAATGTTGTAGTAAACACTGTAACATCACATTGTGTTACCCAATCCTCGTCGTTCATTTGTTTATGACCCATTTACAGTTCACAGGCTGGACGGACGCTGACAGGACGCGCGGATTTGCATTAAAGCGGCTGGGAATGGAAATGCTCTGCTGATACTGTTGTTACCAGGAAGGTTCCTGCACCTGCAGCAGCAGCTCATCACCCCTGCAGCTGACTTGTTGGAGCCAACAGTTGCACTTTTGTTCACCTCTATCGCCCCGAGCTTCTTACAAACTGCTGGTGAATCTAAAACTTTACCAAATTAAAAAAAATAATAATTTTAATAATAACAATTCAAAGTTCGGTAAAGAATTGGCAGCTGCTTCAATGAGAACACGAGGAGCGCCGTGACGGTTTACCGAAGCATCAAACATCTTAAAACTTCACTTTTTTAAATCCGTTATTCGGAACCACATTGTCCAAGTTCTTGCTCGTCTTTAAGGCTTACCCGAGAGCATTATAAACGCCCTGGTGTTCAGCTGTGAGCGTCTTCAGACCCATGTAGGGAGATGTAAATATTTTTTTTCTCGGAGATGAGAGAGTCGGAAGAAAGAGAAAGGATGACAGCGGCAGAGTTCGGGATCAACTTTACCTCGGCTGTTGTACCGCTCAGATCAAATACTCGGCATTCTCCGGACCTTTGGAAAAAACATGACGGTGGTGGTGGTCTCCTCACCGGGTCGAGGGTGAGATTTAGCTGTCGACGGTTGAAATAATCCAGTTTTTGACAGCTTTCCGCGGATGCGTTCACTAAAGCGGGCAGGCAGGCACTGGCTGGTGGAGCTACCTGGCTCGCGGCCAGCTCGTCTTCTTTTTTCTTCTTCTGTGGTATCTGCCGCGTTGGTAGCTGGGAAATGTTGTCCGTGTGTTCTAAACTTAATCTGTACTGAGTTATCACTCTCTTTATGTCTATTTAATCCTCGAAAACGAATACAAATATATACACTTAAGAAAAAGCTTTATTTCCATGCGAATGAAAACACTTTTAAACTTATTTTGTGAAGTAAAATACAATTTTTGGTCTTTTTTGTCATTTAGATTCAAAAAGAATTATCAATATACTTCAAAGCCCTTCAAACGATTACTTTTACTTTTAATGATAAACAACGACAATGTATTTTTTTCTCAGGCAAGAAAGCGTTAACCTCGTTCAGCCAGCTGACTAGTCACGTGACTTTGCGGAAGTCTTACAATAACATGGGTGAATCCTGAGAAGTGGGGGGATAAGAATGGTGCGGCATTACCCTTTGTTTTTAGTTTTAGTATTTGTGAATGAAGTATTTTGTCTCCAGAGTTCATGCCGGGGGGAGCAGGACTCTCTCCCCGTGGAGGGAGCAGGGGGATGCGGCTGTGGAAAGCTGAAGAGAGCCGCTGATGAGAGCGGGACAGCGACCAAAGACCCAGCCGACAAATACTCCGCAGAGGCGAACGAGAGGACATCCGGGGCCAGTGAAGATGGGAATAAAGTACAAAGTCAGGTATGATGTGGATCCTGTTAAAGAAGAACGTGAACCCTAACAATACCAGATGAGTGAAACTGCCTTCTTTCCAAGCATATTACTCATTAGTAAGAGCTAATTTATGGCTTTACAATAATTCAGTTCATTTAGAGCTCATTTTGTAACCGTTTTGATTTGTCGCAGTTATGAAGGTAAGTAAAGTTTCTGTCTTTGTATAACCAGACAAAGTAATCAGCTTTAACTTTTTATTCGCACAATTTTCAAGTAAAACTTTTGTTTTAATTACTTTTAATGAACTGCATCTAGTATCTTAGGCAGCATTTTATACTTCTTTTCAAAACAGGGTTATATTTATTTCACCTGATTTCCAGTTTTTCGTAGTAATATGTTTGTTCTGGTCTGGATTCTCCGTGGTGCCTCTTCACAATTGAAATGATCTGATTATAGTTACAAAAAAATGTTTGATTAGGATCATTTTCACAGTCTGAATGAAATGTAGGTTTATTTTTGGGTTACAGATGGTGTTGATACCTGGAGGAGAGTTTCTGATGGGAACTGACAACCCAGGAATCCCTGCAGATGGCGAGGGGCCTCAGAGATCGGTGCACGTTGACCCCTTCTACATGGATGTCCAGGAAGTAACAAACCAGCAGTTCCAGAGCTTTGTTGGTGCCACTGGATATGTCACAGAGGTAGCAGGTCTATTAAACAGGAAGTTCTTATTTTGGATATATTTTTATCATCTCTGCTAATAACATACTTTTCCTCCTGGTTGTAGGCAGAAAAATTCAGAGACTCATTTGTGTTTGAGGGAATTTTGAGCGACTCTGTCAAAAATCAGATTACCCAAGCAGTGAGTATATCTAATCTACACTTCCTTATGCCTTCTCAGCTGAAAGCGCTGAAAACATGTCATCACCTTGGCGAAGGTACTTAGTTTCACACGGCAGCTCTCAGAGCCGTGTACTCAGACTCACTCTGAATGGTTGTTATGGAAACCTGCAACATCAGGACCAGACGGGCAGGCTCACACATTTTGTCTGCTGTAGACCGAACTCCAGCTTTTACAGACATCCTGCTTTTATTGTGTCAGTTTTATCATTTTTACTGTATTATAGTTTTGTTGTTATTTGGGAAACGCTTTGTGATTTTATCCGTGAAAAGTTCTAAATAAATAACATTTTCACTTTCACTACATTTTCCACTCAGGGCCGTGGGGGGCTGGTGCCTATCTCCAGCAGTCTCCGGGCAGACAGACGGGGTAGACCTTGGACAGGTTGCCAGTCCATCACAAAACCCTAAACTCGTGCATGTTTCGCTAAGCTTTTTAAGCAAATTTTACAACCAAATTCTCAATTAACATTATTTTTGTAATAGAGTAATATTTTTGTTTGGACTCCACAAATAATAAAAACTTGCAGCAAATACCTATTAGACAAGATTTTATATATTTCAAAGATATATTTGTATTTAGCTTCCTTATACTTTTATTTTAAAATCAGATTTTTGCTCCATTTTCTTTTCAATAATTTTTATCTAAGTTTTGCTTGAAATAACAGAATCAAACCATCACTAGTTACCTTTATACGCATTTCCTCTGATCTTTTGCAGTTATCTTTGTGGACATTGTTTATAGCCATTTTAAAGCTTTTTTTGAATCACATGTATAGTAATAAGTTAGAATTTTTGTGGCAATTTATGAATTTGCAGCAAGATCTCCAAGAAAATGTGTGAACCAATGTGGCCAATATGTTACGACCCCAACCTGGTCTAGGATCCAGGGAGGTCTAACACAGAAACATGAGAATAAAAAGAAAATGATCTGACACCAAGTCACAACCAAAGAAGAAGTTTTATTAACAAAAAGCGTCCCTAAGGGAGAAAACCTGGGAGTTTAACTTATGCTGCAGAAAACAAAAGATGAGGACTTAAGTAACTTAAAGAGCAATGAAATGAGAACTAAAACTCACTGGTTCCAAAAATGAAACCAGGAACAATGGAAGCTTGCCCGGAGGCCTTACCAAAAAGTCCACTGGTGAACTAACTCACCCACACAACCGACAGCTCTGTTAAGAGCAAGAGGAAAACGAATATCGACCTGAAGGTTTTCCCAAGCAGGTTGAAATTAACCATCCGGGGGCAACTATGTGATAGGTAATTTTTCATTTATCCCGTATTACCTTAAAGGACGACACAGAGAGAGAGAGAGTAGATTATTCGTAATGTCCATGAATCGTCATGCGAGAGCTGGGCGCAGAAACCCCTCCATGGAGCTAACCAGCCCCCCTCTGTTCCTGGGGAAAGCCTTCCGCTCACCAGCTCTGCATGCCCGCATTCTCCACCAAAATGTTAGGTACTTAAATGTGGGGTAATATTTAATCTCCATAACCCTGAAACCTGAAATTAACACACATGACAACAAGGGAGACATTTTACCCTGAGTCCCCAAAATAATGGAGAGTTAACGCAGACGTCACTCCCATGTGTTCTCAGTTCATCAGGGGCTTTATTCAGCAAAGGATGGAGAAGGCGGGGCCTTCTCAGGTTACAGAGGTACAGAGGTTTCTTTGGAAATCCACAATCAACATCCTGGAAATCCACAATCAACATCCTTGACTGCAAACGAGCTTCTCTGCTCAACCTTTCATGAACAGCCACAGTTGGCAAACACAGAGATTAATGAAGTGTTAATAACACAAATTGGGCATCTTTTAGGCCTCAGAAAGGTACAATTATAAAAATACCCAACATTATGCGTTCCCAAAAGTTCTCAAACACAAGTCTCTCTCTTTAATCCTCTCCTCTCCAGTCCTCTCAATCCGTCCTTCTCCGTCCTCTCCTTCGGTCCTCTCCGCCATTCAGTGCAGCGCCATTCAGGCACGAAATCACTCAGGATATCAGCAGCATTTTTGAAATCCGAAGTATGAAAGAGTGATTTGAAAAATGAAAAGCTGTGTTTAACCAGAAATAAATAGTTACTAATCATAAAGAAACATGTGGAAACATGCGCTGACTGCCTTGTCTCAGCTGTCACGTACAGCCTGATCATGTGGGGCTCTGAGGACTGGGCCCTGCTGCAGCACTGGAAACCAGTCCTACCATTCCAAACGCTGAGAGTGTTTTCATTAAAGGAAAATGAAACTTAAGTGTGAGAGAACTAAATTATTCATGTGTTCACCTTCTTCGATGTCAGGTGGCTGCTGCCCCCTGGTGGCTTCCTGTCAAAGGGGCCAACTGGAAACACCCCGAGGGGCCAGACTCCAGCATCACAGACAGGTAGAAACCAACTAACCACGTGTGTCTATTTTGATTCCAATCAATGCTTAAAATCATCAATCAATTTCAAACGTGTGTTTTCAGACTGAATCATCCAGTTGTCCACGTCTCTTGGTCAGATGCGGTCGCCTTCTGCTCCTGGGCCAACAAGAGACTTCCTACAGAGGCAGAGTGGGAGTGCGCCTGCAGGGCCGGCTTGAAAGACAGGTTAGACACGTATCTGTGAGAAAAAGGTGAGTTTGTTAGAGAGGGTCTCAGATGAACCTCTTCCTCTCCACACAGACTATACCCTTGGGGAAACAAGCTGAACCCTAAAGGAAAGCACTACGCCAACCTCTGGCAGGGGGAATTCCCGACACACAACTCTGGAGAGGACGGATACGTGCAAACATCTCCGGTATGACACTGAAAAATAAGGTGTTGTGTTTAACGAAAGGCTCTGATCAGAAGTGTCAGAACTGGATCTGGTCAGACCAACACGAGTAATACAGCGAGGCGCAGCAGCCGTCTTGTTTATAAAGCCTTTCATCAAAGCTGCACCATACCGGATAAACGGCTGCGATCTCAACTGCAGATCCCAGACTTAACAAACTTCTGCATTTTCTCCTTGTCTTTATTTATTTGCTGGAGTTTAGCAAATGAAATTAGACTCAAGTAAGTTTCGTCTGTATTCAGAGAGGATGCTTCTGTGATGAACTGATCAGTAGCTGAATCAATTACGTCATTCAACAAAAACAAAATCTACACGACGGGATGTTTCTAATGAGATAAAACTGCTCTCACTGAGTTTTATGTATACAAAACCACTTTTTGTTTATTGTTCTCATAATTTATCAACTTGAGAAGTAAAAAGGCTTTTGTTTGAATATTTAGAAGGAAACAATAAAGGGAACCAAGTTAGAGACAGTAAAATCATGATTTTCTCCTATTTGTTCTTCTACTTTTGCTTATTACGTCACATTATTGAGCCATTTTTCTGCTAAACAAATATTCCTACACTTGTTATGGTAAGATCTACAAGCTCACATAGGATTCATGTATGGTTCTGATGAAACCAGTATAAAGGACTGTTGTGTGGTTGTAATCTTCCCACCCTGCAGGTGGAGTCTTTTCCTGCTAATGGTTTTGGTCTCTACGACATAGTGGGAAATGTTTGGGAATGGACCTCAGACTGGTGGACTGTACATCACATGACAGACCACCAACACAACCCAGTAAGAACGACACACACAGAAATTGTTCTTCTTTATAGTCATCATGGTTTTGTTTTGAAGACAAAGAAAACAATTTTTATATACAAAAGAAAGAAAATGATATTTTATATAGCGCCTCTTAAGATAAAAATCATGAGGCGCTTTACAGGTTGTTTACATATCTGGGTGGCCTGGTATTTTTCCGGGCCAACCAAGGCTCATTCTCAGCCCTCTTCTCGAGGGGGTCTGCTTCAGGCCGACCAGGGCCAACACACCCACTGCTGACAGCAAATTCACACCTTCCATTAGAGCAAGCCTCTGATTGGTGGGTAGAATCAGCCCACATGGGCTTAAGGCAAGGATGTGTGGAATCAACCGGGCCAGGCTGGGGCCGACCGGGGCTACCCGGCCCGGACCGACCCGGTACAGATGGGAATGGCCCAAAAGGCTGCAGTCGGGTCCAGCAGGACCAGAACAGAACAGGATTTGATGCCACTGTCTCCTTCTGTCTTGCAGACTGGTCCTCCTTCAGGCAAGGACAAAGTGAAGAAGGGAGGATCCTACATGTGCCACAAGGTAAAGAAGACTCAGACAAAAGACGAACAGCAGATTTGATGTGTGTGTCTGTACAGACTTGTTATAAACTAAGTTCTGTTTCTACCCAAGGGTTCTGGAATGCCATAAATATAACAAGTTGCCTGGTTGCCATAGTATGTTACTGTCTAAAGAGTTCTGTTTGTGGACAAATGGGTTCTGTAGGAGGCAAAAATAGAAAGTAAAGAAAAATCTGTGGGTTATATTGAGATGAATTATTTAGTTCTTTCTCTCTTTGCTCCAGTCTTATTGTTACAGATACCGATGTGCCGCTCGGAGCCAGAACACTCCAGACAGCTCAGCCTCTAATCTGGGTTTTCGCTGTGTTTCACGGGAGAAACGATAAACTCACCCAAAGCCCAAGCCCCCCTGCTCCATAAAAGCTGTGTTAAATACAGGGTAAACACAAGTGTTTGATTTTAGTAGCTGAGCCATTTCTAGAATACTTTTTAAAATTCTTTATTTTTGCATTTGAAGAGTGCTTTTGGATGAAGAGGGAAAATGTGTTTTGCTACTGTAGATATTTGTTTGGATCTCTTATATGGCATCTTTGTTTTGGGGGTTTATTATGTTAAAAGGTGATGTCTGAACATAGTTTTGACCCCTGAAGCACCTGGATTACTCCTAAATTCAAGAATTTCTTAGTGGCACAACTCACCCTGGTTGTTGTTGTTCACTCAGGACAATTTTAAATAAATACTACAAGTAATTTCTGTAACATATCAGTTAAAGTTGCATTAAACCCATTTTCTTTAATATGTACGGTAGCCTTTCTTTTTGCAGGCGCATGCTGCGTATGCGCTTCACAGTCTTCCTCAGAAAGTTTCTAATTTTTTCACACTTTATTTATTCCAAAGTCACCAGAGGAGTCAGAAACTAAAGAAAGTGTCCGTCAGTCAAAACAAACAAGGTCCTGGGTTCGTGCCCCAGTGGAACCACCTGTTACTTGGACCTTTCTCAGTGGCCTAGTGGTAGAGTGTCCGCCCTGAGACTGGGAGATCAGGGGTTCGACTCCTGGTCGGGTCAAACCAAAGACTTTGAAAAAATGGGACCCAATGCCTCCCTGCTTGACACTCAGCATTAAGGGATTGGATTGGGGAGTTAAGGTTAAACCACCAAATAGTTCCAGATCGCGGCTTGCCTGCAGCTCACCGCTCCCCCAGGGGATGGGTCAAATGCGGAGAATAAATTTCGCACACACATCAGTGTGTGACATCTAATGGGACTTTAACTTTGACATTCAACGTGCAATAACGAGTAGAAACCACCAGGGGGCAGCACCTGTCCCTGAGTAATTTAATCCAGACTACAGTATTTTTATATAATAAGCATTAAACTGATGACGGGGTGATTTTTGTGAGAATAGACCAAAGCAGCAAGTGTTGTGTAACTCTAGGGTTTAATTACTCCTCATAACACTAGATTTAGTCATAGGAGGCAAAATAAACAATAAAAATGCAAAACAAATGTCTAAAAAAATGAACACAAACTTTATTTATCATGATGTATTCAGTATATACGTTGCATGAGAAAGTAATAAACTAAACAATTAGCTACAAAAATCAAAACAAAGGAATTCGTAAATAAAGTCTTACGTCTTCCTAGTGCATCTAAACAAACAAAACTGAGAGGTTTTCACAGATGTTTGTATTTCTAGCAGTCATTTAGCAGGCTAAGTCCTACTTTCTTTAATGGAAATTAGAAAGTTCAAAGGTATAGTTGATACAACATTACTGCACAACTGCTAACATTAATTAGACAATTTACCGAGTCTAAACCCTGCTGTCAGTTTTTAAATCGGAAGTTATTACAAACCTCTTTATCTATCAGTGCACAACAGATTAACTGTTTTACAAAACAAAGAAAAGAAAATGTTCATTTTTCCATAAAATGAGTCAAAAACGCACCACAGAGCAGAGCAACTAAGACCCACCTGGAGGCTAAATACAGCTGCCGTCTCCAGAACCAATAAGAGATGAGACTCGGGCGATACGCTATGGTAATGAACATCCTGCTTTCGATCACTCTGCTACGTATTAGCAAAGCTGTTTAAACAAAAAAATAATAATAAAACATTCGCGACTTACACTTTTGCACCAAAATGGCAAAAGAGTGTCTCATTGTGCTGCTGGAGAGGGTGTCTACCTCTTTCTGATGTCCTCACCACATATAATAACTACGTGTGGTGTCGACAGGAGAAGGCTTCCCCTCTGTGCTGCCGTCTTTGTCCTTCTCCCCGTCGGCCTCCCACAGGTTAATGAGTGGAGGGTAGAGCTCATTAAGAGGGATGGACGAGGTCTTTAGCATGTACTTCTTCAGGGAGTGGTGGTAGTTTTTCCTTTTCCATCTGCGAGCCATGTAGACGCCAGCAGTGGCCAGGCTGATGAAGGCCAGCATGGTTGACATGACCGCCAGCACGGCCACGCTCGGGTGCTGGTCAGACAGGTCCAGAGCGAAGGTAGCCCCGCGTGTCGTCACGTTAACGCAGGACTTGTGCGTCTGCAGGTGGATGTTGGAGACCATGAGACACACTTCATACTCTGTAGCAGGCTGCAGGTGTGTCAGGTTGTACTCGTGAACGTCTACAGGAACCCTGGCGGTGTAGGTGATGTGCGGGTTGTCGATCTTCATGGTAGCTGAGGCCCATTTCAGGTTGGAGGACAGGACATTAGAGTTGACTTTCCAGGAGACCAGGATGGAGTGGGATTCGGTCTGCTTGACGTAGATTTTCATCACCTCAGCGCTGTCCAGAAGAGTCCCGTTCACTCGGATCGTGGTGACCCACGTGTCGGCGCCCTCCGTGTTGTGAGCCACGCAGGTGTAGCGGCCAGAGTTTTCCACCTGCACATGAGACAGGTGCAGAGTCCCCTCGCTGCTTAGGTGGTACTGCTCTGACACGGTGTCCATTGTGATTTTGTTTCCTAGAGGCGTCACCCAGTAGATTTCTGGTTCTGGTTCGGCTACGGCCCGACAGTCCAGGCTAACGCTAGCGTCCAGCTCGAGGTTCAAATGGCTGGGGAAGGTGTCATGAGATATGAGGGGGAGACACTGCTCCGAGGACTCTAGGAATCGTACTTCTCGGACCCGCTGGCCTCTGAGCTCTGATGGGGAGGTGCAGAGCATGGCTAGAGGCTCCATGAAGCGCACCGTGGTCCTGTTGGAGCTCATCCACTGGATCACACAGTCACAGCGCAGCGGGTTGCTGTGGATGCTGATCTCCCGCAGGTTGGGCAGGAGCTCCACGTTGTGCTGGTAAAGAGCAGTTAGAGCATTGTTGTTGAGCATCAGGCTCTCGAGGGACGGCATGTCCCGGAATGCCAATCTGTGGATGTAGGACAGTTTAGGGTTGTTGGTGGCCTCTAGCTTAGTCAGTTCTGGCAGGTTGTCCAGAGCGTAGCGATCAACGGACACTAGCTCCATCATGTTGTTGATGCCCAGCTCTTTCAGGTGCAACATGTTTCTGAAGTCTCCTTCTTGGATTTTCTGAACTGGGTTTTTGTTTAGATCCAAGAATTTCAGATTGGGAACTTTTTGAAGGGCCAGCTGAGGGATTCTGACCAACTTGTTGTCATAGAATGAAATGCTCTCCAGATTATCCAAACCCACAAACGCGTTAGCAGGAACATCAGTGAGATCCATGCCTGCCAGAACCAGACTCCTCAGGTTTCCAAGAGGCTTAAAGTTCATGTTCAGAAGTCCCATAACTGGGTTCTCCCCGATCATGAGGATCTCGAGATTCGGTGTCTCTTCAAACCAGCGGCTATCTATGACATGGAGCCTGTTTGAGTTGAGGTGGAGCCGCAGCAGACTGCTCAAGCCTGCGAATGCTCGAGGGGAGATGGAGCTTATCTGGTTGTGGTTGATGTAGAGCTCCTGGAGGCTGGAGAGGTTCCCCAGGCAGTGATCTGGTAGCTCAGTGATATGGTTCTCCTCCAGATGGAGGGTTGTCAGATGGTTCATGTTTCTGAGGCCAACAGCTCCCACAGTGGTGAAGTTGTTCTGGGACAAATCCAGTTCTGTCAAGTTGAACAGGGCCTGCAGCTCTCCAGTGGTGTGAGAGATGATGTTGCTTTGAAGCAGAAGCACCTGAGTGTCTGCTGATAGGTTGGTGGGGATGTGCGTCAGCCTCAAGTCGTTGCAGTCCACTGTAGTCGCCTCCTTGTAGGTCGACTGGGGGGTAAACCACGGGCGGATCTCGCACACGCATAATCGAGGACACTCCTTGCCGCACACAGGTGACAGAAGGATAAGAGTACATCCAGCGCTCAGCAAGATCAGAGGAGGCCAGAGCTGGGAGTCCAGAGCCATGTTGGCTGCTCTCTCTGCTTGCAAAAGGCTTTTAGATGAGCAGCAGTGTTTGCAGGGAGGGGATGAAGCGATGGCTCACAAACATCAGCCTCCTTTGTTAATGTGCTGATGAAGGGATTACGACAGGGATGCGCTTGTAGAAAACAGGCTGATTTCACTCTGAAAACAGAACAAAAGCAGGTTTTAAAAAATAAGCAATGACGCCGCCAAATTCAGTTTTAAAGTAAAGCTAAACGTCAAAAGAGGCTGAAAATAAACAATACTTTCATGTGTTTTTGAGGGCAGATTAAACTAGTCAGATTCAGCACGAGAATACAGACAATCATCTTTGTCTTCCTGCCACAGAAGCTCATGCTTTTGAACAACACATTTAAAATTGATGCTTTTTCCCTCCTGACATGCTCCATTTACTTATCAGGATGTTATCGAGCATGGGCAACGGCTGTCAGAACTTGAGACTTTATCTTCGTTTGGTTTCCCTGATGAATCTGTTTCCTTGGAGATTCTGGGCGTGTTTGTTCTCCCTCTGTCTCTGTTGTCACGATTATTTGTACGCCAGCTTAGTATCAGTTATCTGCTTAAACCAAGTGTGGTGGGTGGCCACAGCCTGCAGCTCTGGCTGTGAGTCCATTACACAACAGGCTTAATACACACAGAGAGTGTGTGAGGACTTTAAATCACTCGCTGTTCGTGGACTTAAGAACTCACACATGTGTGAAGTTAAAAAAGAAACGCCATGTGGTTGTTTTGTGTTTCTGTTCACATCCAGGTGCAAAATCATAAGTCAAGACAAATAACTGGCAAAAAATCTGACTAAACTCATAGGAGTTGGAATAGTCACAGATTTAAAATTGTAGTTAAGACAATTCAATGGTTGTGTTTTTAGATTTAAGTAGAGGATTTATTTTAGAAATTGATGTTTGGTGGTGAGTAAGGAGACAACCGACAGTACCAATGGTTACTACCCAGTAAAACACAACATCTCAGACTGTTTATTTTTTTAAAGATATCAGAAAAGCTAAAATACCTTTTAGATGAAATCTGTAAAAACAGGAAATGAAGCAGTCAACGTAAGTAAGCTAAAAGGATAAGGGATACGTTGTAATAGTTCTGTCGTTGATACAAAACATGTTCATGTAGTTATTTGCACTAAATCATTCTGATGAAGTGATCTCAGTAGTTTTATTCTTCACAGTTTGAGTACCTTCCAGAATGAGCCATTTCAAGGCTCTGTCATGCTCTGGCCACGCCCGCCCACCCCTGCTCAGGCTGCTATTGGCTGAGAAGCTGCAATACCTGGGAGGGGCTCAGAGTGAAGCTGCTGCTTCTCCAGCAGCAGCTCTCTTGCACGTGAGAGTAGCTCAGTTCTAATTTTCCTGTTTATGATGTCACAAACAGGGACTTTTTTAACTGGCTTGTTTTAAGCACATAACTGAAAACAAACACTGACTAAAAACAGATGGGCTGCTTTTTCTCACTTGTAGTGTTTATAGAACCAGTGGAGAAAGGTCAGGAGAAAGGTTTCCACCAAAAAAAATGGTCAAACATAATATTTTGTTGGGCCGCCTTTAGCTTTCGTCACAGCACACATTCGCTGTGACGTTGTTTCTACAAGCTTCTGCAATGTCACCAGATTTATTTCCATCCAGTGTTGCATAAACTCATTCACTGCCAGCCATTTCCTGATCAGTAAAGCCCTTCGCTGCCAGCGTTTTTCAGCATTTTCACCGTTTTTTTAAGAGTCACAGAACTTTGCGCGCTAGGATGATGTTGAAGCCAAAGCTACCAAAACAAAGAGGAGACTCACCTCTTGTAGCGACTTTTACAGTTGCTGTAGAAGCAGAGATTGGGCCCAGGTCTATTTGTTTGACGCGCTGTCTGCTTCTATTAATTCACAGAGAGGTGGAATGCTTTTGTCCATTTTATTGTTACAGGTGACTCTTAATTCTTGTCAAATCCTTAAACATAACGTGACTATAAACGGAGTAAAACAAACTGAATTGTGATGTGATTAACTGAACATTTGCGTTCAACAAAAACTACGGATGCCCAGCCCTCCTCTATCTGTCAAAAATCACCAGGTGACAGAATGACAGCTCCTTTTAATTCCAACCGCCCACACCCATGTGACCCTCATTGCATCACCATGACAACAAAAGGGGAAGTAGGAATGAAAACCCCAATAATCAACTCACCCAAGATATATTATGGCCCCTGCACCTCTTACATCAGGAAGAATCCGCGCGTTTCGAGCGTTATCCGTTCTTTCATAATCCGTTGTCGAATTGTGATCGGCAGAAGCTTTTCTGGTTTGCGCCTCACTTTTTTACAGCAATGGCCCAAAACAATCTCCTAACACATGGATTTTCTGCTTCCTGATCACGTGACGTGTGACGTACGTGGTTGAAGATCGGCTTTAGAGCTGGGACGTTTGTTCTCACGGTGCGGGGGCTGGTTCCGACGCCCAGACAGTAAAAAAAATGCAAAAGACGACTTTAGCTTTTAGACAATTTACTGCATCACAAAAATACTGAGTAGTTGCACAACTTATTTATGGAATTGCGCATGACGGTTCTTTCAACCCAGCCTGCCAGTACAAGAGCCCAAACCGCAATAGGAACACTCGCCTGAAAATTGCAGACTCATACCCGTACACACAGCCAGCAGTGGTCTAATCCAAACCCACTCTAGAACTGGTGGTCGAAATTGCATCAACCCCAGATCATTGCACTGCCCCCACAGGCTTGTACAGTAGGCACTAGGCATGGTGGGTGCATCACTTCATCTGCCTCCCTTCTTACCCTGATGCACCATCACTCTGGAACAGGGTCCATCTGGACTCAGACCAGTTTTTGATAATGTGTTGGACAGTTCTTAAGTCAATTTTAGTTGTTTTTGCAATCTTCTTAGATGTTTTCTATGCTTGATTCATACTGATGATTTAACCCTTCTCAAACAGACTAACATCTTTTCCACGACCACCAGATGTGTCTTTCCACATGGCTGTTTAAGAAATGAGAAGCAACCCATCGCATCAGTTGGGGTTAAAGAACTTGTTGCCAGCTGAATGATAATCACTCATGAGGTAATTATCCAACCTATTTGTTTAGTTATATCTAGCTGGCAACTTATTATTTGGCTGGGCAGTGTATGCGAACGTACAGTCGAGAGGTGGGATCCTTGTCCTTCACACTGTCTCCTCACGCTGTTGAACAAACAACAAGATGCATTCATTACTCTGTAAATCAGTCAACAGGGCAGTCCACCATATCCTGTAGAAGAAGATGCAAATGCTTCCCCAAAGTTGATGCCAAAGCCGTTTGAAACAAGCCATCGCTGTCTTAGCTGTTCCGCTTAATCGCATCATTCTGGCCACCAAACTGACCGAGCGCTGCGACTGGCACGCCACCAGAATAGTCAGGACTGCAGAAGTCCAAAGGAGTGTGGCTAGACCGACATGTAGAGCAAAATCATTTTGCTTCTGCAGACATCTGTCTAGAGTTCTAGACTATGGGATCGCAAAAGGTGAGTTTTGCATAATACGTTCCATTTGAAGGAGATTAATTGACAAATGGAGCACAAAAGAAATAGTATGGATCACCAAAGATAAAAATAATTTAGCTTTCTTACCTAGAAGGTCACCTTAAATAAACAAGCTTCACCTAAAAACCAGTCTAGCAGATAGATTACAGGCAAGACTGTATCTATTCTGCTTCGACTCCCATGACCTCAACAGGTTGAAGCAGTTCAAACTACATCAGCTGAGCCCTGCAAATGGAAGTTTAATAGTTTTCTCTAAAACTCGGTCCCTGGGTCTTTCCTGCAGCCTTGGTGATGCAGCACTGAGAGGGAGCAGCTTTCATTCAGAAATCAATGGAAGTTTATGGTTGTGAGCTGAATAGAAGCGCGACAGTTCTGGGGTGTCTGTGAAAAGACTTGTCATGGGCTGACTCTGAGATAAGAGCTGGGTGGATGCAGAAAGCAGAGGGTGCACTGGAGGTGGTGGAGCAATGATTTAAACAGACAATGTGTAGTTTTTACCATTCATTTCTGGAAATATCCATCAAAAAGTTGTTGAAAATGAATGAAATGATGCCCGGTTGTTGAAAAATATTGGCAGCTTCGTAACAAATAACCATAAAAATCAGGTTTGAAATACATAGGAGTGGGTCTACGTCTCTGGGCGACGACATACTGTATTAGATGCCATGGTTCCTTCTACGGGAGCCCGTGAGGACAAAATGCATTTACTGATTTGTAACAAACAATTACAAAACTTTCGTCATCCTTATATGTTGTTGTCTTACACATTTACCTCTTCACTTGTTGCCAGTGATGAAAGGGAGGCTGGTGCGCTCGTTATTTAGCAAAAGTTTGCACTCCCCAGAGCTTTTTGATCCTAATGGGCATCCATTGGTACGGTCTTACTCCAACACAAAAATACTGCTTGCTTGCCTGATACGATTTAGGTATCTACTGCCCCCTATTGCCAGAAAAAATACACACTGTCACTTTAATGTAAAAGATCAGATCTGGAGCTTAGAGTTACCTGATGGATAAAAGTAAAAAACGTGTTGGCTATAGGGTTAATGTGCCGGAAAGCATCAAAACGGGTGCGTGAACGAGATTTAACACCATAAATTACAGTTCAAGTAATGGCCCTCAACTCTAGAGTCAATTCTTACAAGACAGATACTCTGAGATCATCTGCGTGTGTTCTCATTTTCCCAGTGTGTGTGGGTGGGGGAGTGTGTGTCAGAATAATACGTTTTCACATTAGAACTGACAAGTTCCTCTGGTATTTAGAAAACAATAAGCACAGATTTTCCTTTTCCATGTGCTGTTTGTTCACGCCATTCTCAGTCATTTTTTATCCCCCACATCTGAATGAATAAGAATAGAAAAGCAGCTCAACACAGAAAGACACAAAGCTCCATAACGAGGCTGTTTTTGCACACAAAGGCACGCTAGCAGAGCGGGAAGCAGCTTCACAAAATTTCTCAAAGAGGAAATCCACAGCAGAACGTCCAGCATCAAGCTTTAAAGCTTGATGCTGGGACTCCGCAGTGACCATCAGGTCAAAACTGGTCTCATCCTCTCCACATGAATACGGTGTAGCAGCAGGGACACACACCTTCTCTTGACTTTATTTATAGGTTTTTATGGAGAAAGATGGCTGAACGTATCCATTT